CTGTTTACATTTGCACAACAGTCAATGCATTTCTCAAAACAATTAGTCATTTGAGCACATCAGCAGTTTTTCATTCTTTCCAACAAATTGCAAATGATTTTGGACATGCATTAATTGTGTTCATTCAACTCTCTGCTGTTTTATAACATTATCATTTGCTTATGTCATGTCAGTCAAAATGAACTAAACTTGTGAATGCTGAATAGTCATTCTATATAAAAAAAAACTAATAGTCCTCATTTCATTACTTGAGTCATTACACACAAAAATGATGAACTAGCTGTCAAAATATGTCAAGCTAATTTTATAAAAGCATTTTAAATCTTTTTTTCCTGAAAGTGTCTTCTAAATTGAACAATTTCATGAATGATTTACAGACCACTGTTCAGTTCCAATATGTACTGCAATATTGTTCACAGTTGTGCACAGTTCAACCCAAAGAAAGTTTATGTTTGTTGTAAATAAGGATGCATTTACAGTTTTTCTCAGTCGCTTTGGTGCATTTCTCACAACACTGTTTACATTTGCACAACAGTTAATGCATTTCTCCAAAAAATTTGTCATTTGTGCACATCCTAATAGCAGTTTCTCATTCCTTCCAACAAATTGCAAATGCTTTTGGACATGCATCGATTGCTTTTATACAACTCTCTGCTATTTATAACATTATCATTTGCTTATGTCATGTCAGTCAAAATTAACTAAACTTTTAAATGCTGAATAGTCATCCCATATAAAACTAATAGTCCTCGTTTCATTGCTTGAGTCATTACATACAAAAATTATGAACTAGTTGTCAAAATATGTCTAGCAAATTTTATTAAAAAAAATTTAAATCATTATTTTCCTGAAAATGTCTTAAAAATTGAAAATTTTCATGAATGATTTACCGACCTGTGTATGTTGTAGGTTCAGTTCCAATATGTACTGCAATATTGTTTACAGTTGTGCACAGCTCTACCCAAAGAAAGTTTATGTTTATTGTAAATAAGAATGTATTTATTCTTTTGCACAATGCTGTGAATAAATTAGAATTGCAAAGAACAAATGCAGTAAAAATGTGAAACATACATTTTCAGTGTCTTGTACTCAGATAGCTTACTAAATGCAGTGAAGTCTAACTTCAGTTTTCAAATGGCAGTGCTAATAGTATCTAGTGCTGTCTAGAGCATTTTCAGGAAGTGTCACCAAAATCGGACCTTTTTTTGCATTGAAAAAATGTCCAACGTAAACTGTCATAATGAAAACATGACAAAGCCATTTGACTATCTTGTTCATAAACAATGGTGTCATGGTTTTTCATTTTGATGATACTGACACTTTGATTGACATCAATACTTGCTTTTGAGGAATGAGCTATCCATTTTGAGCAAGTGATATAAGTTTGCACGTTATCAACAAGGTTTTGCAGTTTGTATTTATTGCTTTAAGAAATGCATAAACTGTTGTGCAAATGTAAACAGTGTTGTAAGAAATGCACCAACGCCACTCAGAAAAACTGTAATGTAGCCTAATTGTTTTAATATAAACTTATATTCAGCTACTATGCTTTTAATTGTCATTATTGACACCTTTAATTATCAATTTAGGTCAAATTAACTTGAAATGGGTGTTGTATACAGTATATGAACTGTTATACAGTATTGTTATATTCCAAACAAAACACCAGATGGCAGTTTTGAGTCTTTTTCGCCTCAAGATTTGCTTTATGGAAACATTGAACTTCATGAACTGTAATTACTCTACACTATAACTAACATGCACATTTCACCACATTTATACATAACATCTGATCTGCATGACATACATTTTAAAAACGAGAAGCTTAAGTATTTCCCTCATCTACTTTTAGTGTCGTAGTGCAAAAACGTTTCTGTAAGCTGTATGGCGTCTTTTGAGAAGTCATGTTATAGTAGTATTAAAGGAGGATCTTTTTTTCAATGTGCAAAAGAATGATTTCAATGTACTGTATCTGTTGGCTGGAAAGTCCTTCAGTCAGCCCAGTTAATGTATGCAGTGGTTTTGACCTATATTTTGCTGAGGGAGCTGGATTATGTTTGTTATTTGGTGGTGTTGAGGAGGGAAGTCTTTCAGTTTATTTCTGCTCACATCAATTGCCAATACTGATGATCTGGGGAATTTTACAAATATTTAATTGTGGGTATTTCCTTCTGAGAAAACATACTACTGCTTCACCATTGCTCATATTTCATCTTGATCAACATACAGAAATGCTAAGAATGTTTTGTCTTGCACAGTGATCAGAAACATTTTCAGGTGCCTCAAAACTGTTCAGGCCTGCAGATCCGAAGACTGTTCAGAGTAGTAAAAAATAATGCACACAAATAATAAAGATAATAATAAAATAAATTAATTATTCAATCTAGCATGAATGAGGTGACTTGAATGAGAAACACTGAAGAACTGTCCTGGAAAACTGGAACCTTTTAGTTTCATAGACACACAAGTTTACACAATCAAAGAAGCTCACATAATGCAGCAGCCTCTGAAAGACACTGAAACAATAAGCAACATGTGCCGGGAAAATCTTAGAAATGTGTTTTTTAAATAAACCCAATGCATGTTTTGAGCTTGAGGAAGTGCGATATTTGCTGTTTTATATGCAGTTTCCACCTACTCTGATGTTAAAACTTACTAATAATGTAAATGTAACTATTTAAATAACACAAATTTTACCTTAAATATACACTCTCCCAAATAGCAAAGACATATTTATTAGAATATTTTCAGCACTAATGTAAAACATTTAATACAAAACACTTCATAAGAAATAACACAAACTGCATAATGGACTGGAGTAAATTATCTCAACACAAAATGTATCTTGTTTAAGGGGGTAAATTAATTTACAGGCATTAAAATACTGCTACTATGTGCTGGGAATGTACAACAAATGTCAGCTGATAATCATCTCAATGAGCCATCAATTGCAAGAAAAAACAACTTATGTGGTCTGGCATTAACTATAATATCAAACAAATTTATATAAAATTATTTTAGAAATTTAAAAGCTTAGTGACGAACCTCCTCTTTTCAGACAAGCAGAGAATTGTAAAAAGAAAAGCAAACAAAATCAGAGCACCTTTCCACAGATATTTAAAATGGATTGCCAATCTATATGGTAAAACAAAACACAAAGAAATACAAGAGCATAAAACACTATAACTTGTGACAACTTTTAATGACCAATATAAAATAAAATAAAAAGTTACAAATTCAATGTTATCATTATAAAATCCTAGAATACTTTGTTTTGCTACAGAAATTACCCAGACAGCTATAAAAACCATGTAAAAAAAATTGAGGCTGCCTTTTAATTAACCTGAACAAAATAGCTGGAATAATGTCTGAGCACCTTGGAAAACCCCTGACAAAATGAACATATAAAACCTTTAAGAAATAGCTGTATATTGGAATATAAACATTGCTATATATAGTGATAAGTAAACGGATTTGATCTGTGCACCAGAAAAGAATAATTAACTATCAACGAGCATCAATATGATGATGACTGCTTCTAAAACAGTTACATTAAAATGACATTATCATTAGCACCATTTCTGGGTTCAATAGTATCACATACTGTACAAAAACGCTACTACATCTGCTGTACAAAATGCATATCAATATAAAAGGAGTCCTATTAGGTAAAATTTGCTGACTTAATTGATTAAATGTTTAAATTAAATTGAGTTCTGTTAACTTAATGCTAATAATTACATTAAGACAAAAATGTTTTGAAATTGCTGATATAATTTGAGTAATCATTTACTAACGATTGAATTAAGTAATGCCTTAACTAATCATCACAGCCAATTTTAACTTAGTTATAGGGTTATTCGTACTGGTGAAGTGAACTTGATAAAATGTAGCTTCTGATTTGATTATTTTATGTTATTTATTGAGGGTGGCTCAGTGGAAAGCACTGTCACCTCAAAGCAAGAAGGTCACTGGTTTGAGCCCTGGCTGGGTCAGTTAGCTTTTCTGTGTGGAGTTTGCATCTTCTCCCCTTGTTTGTGTGGGTTTCCTCCGGGTGCTCCGGTTTACCTTGCAGTCCACAGACCATGGCCGTATTGTTTAAGTGTGAATGAGAATTAGTGTTTAGAGTTATGGAGTAGTGTTTCCCACTACTTGGTTGCAGCTGGAAGAGCCTAATGAATAAAGGGACTGAGCCAAAAAAAAAAACGAATGAATGGATGAAAGTCTTGTTAATGTTGAATACTTTTGTGGCATGTTTACGTTTTTGTAGTAACCATTGTGTGAAAGACTAAATCATATAAAGAAAAACTGACCAATATCACAGCATTTCATAACTATATTATGTTAGTGGCTGATTTGTATGAATTATTTTGTACAATCTTATTTGTTGTGCATTGTTAAATGATCTGCTCATTTTCCACATACTCAACATTTTTGTATAAAATTGATTGTACAAATTAATAAATGTGTTATGCAAGCTCTTGATATTAACTGAAACAGATCAAATAATAATAATAATTAATATATTTAGAACCAATTTGTATTGAAACTCTATATAAAATTTATTTAACCCTTATGATATGTTGAGGACGTTTGCATCCACTATGGGGTGCTGTTGAGTGTTAATGTGGCCACAACTTTCTCTGTATTTTAGCAAATAGAATGATTTTTGGTGACAAATCTTATTTTAAAGAACTCAACAATAGGCTGTGGGCAAATTTACTACCCTTCCGTTATATTTGTGCCAGTTTTGGCTCCACTGGCTTCCATTATAATAAAATTTTTTGATTGCAAAGCCATGACCCCATATGCATTTTTAATTGTTCCCTGTAGGGAAGTTTAATTTAGTGGATGTTTTCATCCTAAACATAAGGCAGGTTCACCCAAAAATAAACTCATCCTCAAATGGTTATAAACCTTTATGAGCTTTGTTCTTTTGCTGAACACAATATAATATATTTTCAAGAAAGCTAAAAAAAACACATGCAACCATTGAATTCCAGATAAAAAAAACAAATACTATGAAAGTCAATGATTAGAAGTTTCCTGCTTTCTTCAAAATATGTACTTTTGTGCTTATTAGAAGAAAAAACCTCAAACAGTTTTTGAAAAAGTAAAAAGCGATTAAATGATGGCAGAATTTATATTTTTGGGTGAAATTTTTATTTAAACACCAACAATCTTGGTTTATTTGTCATAACAATTTTAGAAATAAAGGTACAAAATCTGTGACTGGGGCAGTACCGTTTCAAAGGATAAAGTTTTGTTCCTAACTAGTCTTTAAAAGGTACATATTAATACCTAAAAAGTACAAATGTGTACCTCACAGTAAATGTAGCTTTTAGCGGTAGTTCTAGGAAGACCTAAATGTCACAAGACTCATCACAATCAGTTCCAACCAATAGCCACGAGACACAAGGAATATATAAGCTGTCCATTCATTTCATTAATTTGGTTGCAGGCACCGACGCAAACGTATACCCATCGTCCCCACCACCACCAGGTTGGCCCTGTCCAGAGGGGTAAGGCTCCGTCCCTGCCTTCATCCTCAAAAGACGTAGCTAGATCTAAAAGCTTTCAAACCAAGCTATGGATGGGGCCTCCGCCAAAGAAATCCTGTCTCATGATACTCTTATCAAATAATACTCATCAATAAAAGTAATTCAGTATCATAATTATCTCCCTGGACTTTCTGGTAGAACTTAATGTGTACCTCACAGTAAGTCAACCTTAAAAGTACAAAAGTTAACCTTAAAGATACAAAAGTGTATTTCCACCAGTATGGTACAAAAGTGTACCTTTTAAAAAGGTAATACACCAGTGACAGATTTTGTACCTTTATTTCTGAGAGTGAATGATTGATGCTAACATTTGCATCAATATTATAATTTCTTTTTATCGAAACTATTAGATAGTACAACATCACTGCAAAATGCCCACAGTAACTATATTATTGGCTCATTTAAACCAGTACATGAAGTTTGAGTTGATAGCAGGAAAGCACATGTTGTTACTACATGAACCTCCGTAGCTTGGAGGACAGGCGGAGCATGGCACACCAACTCTGTATGGTGCTTCACCAATCCAGTTGCCCCTAAAAAAAACAAATAACAAATACGGTACAATAACAAGCATGTTATCAGCCAAAGAATGGTTTGCTCTGTGCTCTTGCTGGCTAGATCTGGCTAGAGTTGCTTTAAAAGATAAAACTTACTTTGGGGAATAATTGCAGACCAAGTACGTTGCCTCTCTCCACACAGCACCCCATACTACCATATTGAAGCAGGTTTGGATGGCACATCCAACTCTGTTTGATGACGCCCACACCATCTGTAACATTTAGAGAGTGTCAAACATTTCACCGTTGACATCTTTTGATTTATGACTTGCAGCCACTCACTTGTGTGTAATGTGTGCACATGGGTCCATAGCAGCGCATCGGGCAGTGGGGATTACAGTCACGTGGGTATGGAAACATATAATCCCTGACCTCATCGTACCATGGTTTAACCAGCTGAAGAATGGAGCGGTAACTGGCAGAAGCAGAAACAATCTGAGTGTAATTATGAAAGTAAAAAAGTCCTGTCTCATCCACTTGCTGGACTTCATCCAAAACACAAAACTTTGGTCTGGCCTACTGCCTTGAGTCTCGTTCATCGTTTGTAATTTGATAATGCTGCCAAAGTGACATTTCAAGTCTTAAACAAGCACCAGTGATTTTTATTCGGAGAACAATACAGTTCAAAGTGGTTGTTCTATCAATGCCAACCAAATGTTCACCTGCTAGACTTACTTGCCAGTTCGAACTGAGAGGTTTTGACCCAGATATCGGAGAAGGTAAGGTGGTCCGTGTTCCCAAATACAGGTGGCTGCCCATGCTTCTGCTGACCTGGCCAGTCCATCATCCCAAAGCTAGTAAATATAGATGATCAGAGGTATTTATTTGCAATAATTATTAAATGTTTCTAGTTAAAACAATGGTGGAGAGCACATACAAACACATAAAGGGTTCATTTATGATGCACCAATATCTATCAGCCAATACTGTTAGTTGATACTGATATCTACTGATACTAATACCAATTTTAAATGAAAACTAATTTCAAAATAGTTTCCAGCTTTTAAAATAACAGTAATAAATTATACAATTGTGAAAGAAATATGTCAAAATAAAAAATATCAACAAGCTGAATAACCTACATCAATATGCTGCTTCAGATTAAATGGTTTCAGTCACAAACAGAAAAGACGTGACTAATTATTAGCTGATTAACATAACAAACTCAAATAAAAAATGTGGTAAGTTTTTTCAGTTTTGAATGTTAATAATTCATATTAATAATACTGACTGTGGGCTGCATGGTGGCGCAGTGGGTAGCACGTTTGCCTCACAGCAAGAAGGTCGCTGGTTTAAACCTCAGCTGTGTCAGTTGGCATTTCTGCGTGGAGGTTTCCCCCACAGTCCAAAGACATGTAATATAGGTGAATTGGGTAGGCTAAATTGTCTGTAGTGTATGTGTGTAAATGAGTGTGTATGGGTGTTTCCTCGTAATGGGTTGTAGCTGGAAGGGCATCCGCTGCGTAAAATGTAAGCTGGATAAGTTGGCGGTTCCTTCTGCAGTGGCGACCCCTGATTGATAAAGGGACTAAGCCAAAAAGAAAATGAATGACTACTGACTACTCGACACAATATAAGGCATATATGCGTAATCAGATTAAATAGATGTATACACCTCATTGAATTTTAGTAGTTCAGAGCTTACAACATGCAGATTTGTTGTCGCCTATGAGCAAATCAGCAATAGGCATGGGCATATGGTTCTGACGATATAACCATAGATAAAAATATCATGGTTTCATAATACTGTGATTACTGCTCTAAAATATATTCTTTTTAAATGTTTGAGTAAAAAACTAAAACTTCTCCCCCTTTCAACAGAAAGTATTTTATTTTGAAAAATATTTTGGAACAGTGAGCATTTCAGGCTAAATAATTCAAATGAATCATCTCTATTTGATTCTGCTTGTCTTTTGCTGTCTTCATTATTTTCAAAAACAGAATCTTTGGATATCTTTTCTGCTTGAGATACTGTTGTCCTAAAAAACAAACAATTTTTTAAGCCATCTTACCGTAGGATACCGTATATACTGTATATACACCGTAAAACCTTGACTTTTTTAAACCACGGTAAACCTTGAAAACGGTTATAGTCCCATGCCTAATCCAAACAAAAGGGATTTTCTTTCAACGAAGCACAAATTAATTTTGAATGCAACGATCAGACAGTACTGATAGCTGCTTTTGCTGACTGATTCTTAGAATTAGCCAATGGATTATGTATCGTCAATATCTCAGCTTACATGTGAGTTTGCAACCATGCACACATAACCACACATTTCATCATTATACGAACCAGAAAATGCACATTCAAACAATCTTGAACAAAAACTGCTGAGTCTGCAAGCTAAAAGTAGCCTATAGTTGTAAATAAATAATGTTTAATTTCTTGCACAGAATCTTTATAAAATGAAGACACTTAACATAAGTATCATAAAGAATATTAATTTTATTTTGCCTGTATATGTTTTGTTGACTCTGAAAGTACCAGTAGCCATTAACTGAATAAATTATAAATTACCATAAGTTTAAAGCTGCGGTCACATTGGACTTGTCTCCCCATAGACCTCCATTCATACACATGCAAATGCGTCAAATCGGAAATGCAAGGTTGTGCGACAAGTTTCGCAGTTTGCTGCGTTGCTAAGTAAGTTCCATCTTGGTGAACTCTGACCTGCGAAATTGCATCACTTGACTGCATGAGACCAATCGAGGATCAAAACATGACCACTCTGGAAAGGAATTTAAACTATGGACCAATCGCTAACTTTTTAACATATCCAATTATCTTGTTTAATACCTCCCCATTTCACAGCACCATAATTTCGCATGCTCAGACTCTAGTGTGACCGCAGCTTCAGCTAAATTCTTATTTGATGTTCTGCAGAAGAATAGTTTGTGAAGTTTCACAAACTAATTTTGAGAGGAGCATGTGATATGGTTGATCGCGGCTGGTCTCTTACCTGTAGAAAGCCAATCAAATTATTCCAAACTCACTATAAATAGCTCATCTAGCATCCCTTTTCTTTGTTTTTAAAAGAAGCCCCTATCTCCACCTTTGCTCCTTTACCAGGGGGAGCTCTCAAGAACTACCTGATCTCGTACACCTTACATGCTCATTGATCAAGCGGGAGCCCTGGGCTCAATTATCTCCGAGCTCAGGATTCTCTTCCAGGGCAGCATGCCTGTTATGATTATCAAGTAATATTTAAGTGTGAACTTATTTTTATGTCACTTACACTTGTATTGCCTGAGATTAAAAAAATCTATAGCACATTTTATTTTTAGGGGTTGAACTGTCCTTTTAACAACTACTATAATCATTTGCTTATATTAAATTCTGTACAAAAAATAAAAAAGAAACACGTTTTAAACTCTAAATAAATTGTTAAATGCATCGAAGCTATATTGTGATATTGTAATGTATCCAGCAGGAGGGGCTGTCTTGAAATCATCGCATGTCAGTTTTAATCAGAATCATCGGCTAGTTTTGCCGTTGAGCGTTAAATTGTTTTATATGAACTATGGAAGCGATCTGTGGAAATCTTACCATGTACTCCATGTTGGCTGCAGGTGGGAAAACATTCGCACGCACCTTGTTGTGATAATCCAGAATTGCAATCATGTCACTTTGCGAAATGTACCGTTTTCTCCTTGATTTGGGTTTGGATCCTATTCCTTGATCATCCCCCAATTCCGATGTACTGAAAGTGAGATTGGTTCCGGTTTGCGTTTCGGTCGCATTTCTGATAACCCAAGCGCTCGCATCACTAGCTATGAATACAAGAAGCAAGTCGGTAAAAAAGTTGACGGTCTTCATCCCTCTTTGGTGAATACAGTAGCCCTTCTATGGAGTTAACTGCAGATAAAACAACAATGAATAAAAAATTAACATTTGCATCTCAAAGTGATAAATAAGTGACAGAAAGACTAGCAGAGAGGACATTAGAAATAAAATGTAATATGAAACGTTTCAATAGGCTAATTAGTGTCCTGCGCGAGCATCGTACCGTTGAATCTGCAGGAGTTTGCGGTGAAGCAGCAGCAGCAGCAGCTCTGAGTCAGTTATCCAGATGCAGATGCAAATCTCTCATCCTCAACTGCTGCCTCTGGCTTTTATACTGTGCTGTGATTCAGGAGGCAAGCGCAAGGTGCTCTGCCCGTCGGTTACCTGAACAGTGTCCTGCCAGCATAAGTTGCTCGTTTTACCATCAATAGTATCCTAAACTCTCCGTATAGGCTATTGCTTTATTGTTAGTAGTGTTGTGAACCTCAGGCAGTCACTTAATATCACATCCTGGTCAACTTGCAAGTACATTTATTTTATTTTATTTTATTTTATTTTATTTTATTTTATTTTATTTTATTTTATTTTATTTTATGGCAACACTTTACAATAAGGTTGTATTGTGACATTGAACAATACATTTATTACAGTATTTGTTCATGTTACTTTTACGTTAATGTAAATCAAGTTGTTCATTGTTCGTTCACGTTAAGTGCAATAACTAATGTTAACAAGCATGAATTTGAAGATTAATAAGGTAGTAAATGTTGAACTATGATTAATGAAGGCTGCACAAGTATCGTTCATACTTAATTTATTTTAGTAAATACAATAACTGACATTAACTAATGAAACCTTATTGTAAAGTGTGACCTATTTTATTTTATTAACGTACAGCTTTGTATAGCTCTAAAAAATTAGTAAAAAGAGACAACCTCAGATTTATCAGAACTGTGAATTTGCCTAGTTATATGCTTGGAATAAAATGTTCAGTAGATCTATACTTAAAAAATAGCAGATTAAATAAATAAATAAATAAATAAATAAATAACAACTACATTACCCAAGATGCTGTACTGAAAATTAGACCACTCAGAGTCACGGTGAAAAAAAAGCATCTTAGCTCTGTCGCTCATAGATCTTTAGCTCTGTCGGCTCTCATTAAGCATGTAATGAAGTCATTTTGCATTAAATCTGATATAAATTGTTTCCGCACAACCAACTACTTTAAAATGAATCATTTTATATTGCTCTAATTTTTAAAATGTAATAATGCAATAATGGTCCTTGGGATTGTAGTTCTTGTACACAGTCATGTTTTAATTGTCTTTTTAATATTTATTTGTTTCAAATGAAAGGTTGTAATGAAATAATAATAAAAAAACATAAAAAAAAACTTTGGTTTATTTTTATAACATTTTCATAAAGACTTATGAAATATGTCTAAATAAATAAAGTATATACATTTATCACAGCCAAACTAAATTATTATTAAAATTATTATTATAAATTATTAATAATTATAAATATTGGGTGGGCACCAAATAACAGGTCACAGTGGGATGTACTGTAGCTATTGCTCATATTTAACACAATATCAACTCATGGGCTACAGTTCACTAAACACAGCAAAATATGATACATCTTTAGCCACATAAAGTCAGTGAGCTTTGATTTTTGTATTATATGTGTTTTTTCTTGTCTTATTTTCTACACAGATACACTTGTTCAATGTGAGTCCAAAGAGCCCATTTTGCCAGCGTGTGTGTGGAGCCAAGTTAAGAAGCCCCTTCAGAGGCATATCGTTTTCTTTGGCAGGTGGAAGCTGAGTAAGAGCAACGTGACGCACATACGACCCCACTCCCCTTCAGCTCTCCTCCCCTCTTCCGCTGAACTGTGAATTTGCAGGTTTTCTTGGAACTGACTCTTACTGCTTATGCATTCTTCAGTCCAGAAAGGAGATGTTTACTGTGGCCAAGTAGTAATTAGTTCGATGTTTAGTTTTAGGGTTAAATTGCATATAAAATAATTGCTTAACAATACATTAGTGCAACATATGCAACATGTTGGGGGGCTCATGAAAGTGTTTCTATTTTATTATTATTATTATTATTATTAATATTATTATTATTATTATTATTATTATTATTAACAAATCCTATCATAAAATAGTGATTTGCAATAAATCAGCAAACATGCAGAGAAACATTGGCTGTAACTTTGCAATTGCATGTCTGTGCAAAAGTAAGAACTCAAAACAGCAAGTGCGAAACCAGATATATACAATAGAGGCCCAGGACATCTGGTTATTTCCTTTACAAGTGCACAGTATTTAATTTAGTGGAATTAGTTTCTGTTTTTGTGTTTTAGTACACACAGAGCAAACCTCAGCAGTAGTAAGCTGAAATTAAAATGCAAGCTCCTGCAGCCTTTCTGTGTGTTGATCTATATTAAACCTCAACCCACTCATATTTGATCATTTTACAATGCATGTTCATTTAGGGGACTGGTGCTGTTAGCTGACTGAAGAAGAGTACAGTAGAAAGAAAAAGAGTAGGTCTTCTGCCAAGCCATCCGTATCCCTTCTTAGCTTTTGTGTGCTCCACCCAATGATGTTCTTAACTGGCAGCTCACAGTAACAGAATAAGGACTTGATTACACCGTGCTCTGTTTGGGAGGTAAAATCTGTCCCAGTTAAAAGTCTGGATGAGCAATGGTTTACTAAAGCCAGTCCATTCTGTATATAACTATTGTTAACAATTTTTAAAAACATAGCATAAGTTTGTATTCTGTCAATTTTTTTGAAAAAACACATACACTGAAAAAAAATCTCTTAATATCTGTTAACAGTTTTTGTATTTTGTATTTTCAATCTATTTATGGTTGAGAATTTCATAATAGGACCTTGAGCTCTTCTCTGTCATTTTTTTATATTTTAAATTCAACTCTACAGTTTAACAAAGTGACTTTTATTGACTTTTTAGTAGTTTGAAATAACTAATGTATAAGAAATAACATACTGTATACTGTAAATAAATGAATCTGTAAAACAACAGAAAAAGTACTGGCAGCTTATTAGAAGGTTTTTGCAGAAAACAATACAAAACCAACCCAGAGAATATATCACTTTAAACTATTAAAAATGTGCATATAAGTCACTTTTTCCAACTTGTTAAGGTTAAAAGTTGTCAGAAGAAAGATCAAAGTTTCATAATGTGATTCAAAAGCATTAGTAATAAAAAATACATAAATGTGAATCACAAAATACAGAAAACTGTTAATTTATTTATATATTTTACAGTGTATGCTTACTTTGCAGTCTAAAATATTGCAATGTTACTTGGATGCAGTATTAATTCCAGTCTCCTAATTTACAATACAGAATTCTTAGTACAGCATATTTAATTTTAAACTCTATGACAGTCAAGACACAACAAACAAACAAAAAAAAAAAGATAATGTTGATTAATATATTGAAGTGTGAACATGGATTTATCTACTGTAGGTTAAATGATTCAAGTTTTTATTTACATCTGAGCTATGGCATCAATTTTTCAGCATGTGTTGATACTTATTCTTAATAATTCCAAGTAGTGGAATACACATGAGAAGCAATATTAGGTCTCTTGGACCTGATGACAGGTATATTGTTTGTCCTAAGGATCAGTGCTATTTATTTGTGGGGAATATTGGAACACCATAAAGCCAATAAAGCCCACATTATGTTCAACAATAAGCAAACTAGTCTGACTTTGGATATGACAGGTAATCGTGTCATAAAATAGTTAAATAATATTAAAAGAGTCAAAGTTCCTTACTGTATGTAGATAGCATGTACTTAACCTAAACTGAACTTAAGTTAAACATGAACTTAATATTTCTGCAATTAACTTTATCTACTCCCGATTTCAGTGTAATATGTAATAGTTTACTTTCAAATTTTTAAAATGTATACTTTTACTTCTTTTAAAGACGAAAAGTTATTCAATGATATGTACAAATGTTTTATGAATAATTATCAGATGCAGCACCCTGTTATTGACCTAAACTCAAAGCAACAACTAATTATTTAAAAAAATAAATAAGCTAAAAACAGAGAGATGGCCCTAAGTTATTGTTTAGAGAGCTATAAAAATCTCAAAAAGGAGCTTTGTGTTCTTTCACTTTGTTTCATGCTGAATTAGCAGTATCTGCTCATTGTCATTACAGAACATTCCACATATAGTCAACTGACAGATTCATTTGTTGGTCACTTTTATTGTAACTAGTTGCCATCAGATATGTATGGTAAATGTTAATACAGAGAATATATCTGTGATTTAAAGTTTGCAGTTCGTAAGTCGAAAGGCCTTTGTTTGTCCTCCATCGTATTTCAAGTAAAAGCAGTAATATTGTGAAATCTAATTATAATTTAAAACAGCTGCTCTTTTATTATGTTTTTAAAAGTAATTTATCCCTGAAACATGAGTTTGACAGACTGTGTGTAGTATTATAGAAAGACTACAAACTGGTAATTTGATGGATTCTCAAAGACATATTTATTACAACTTGTGTTTATTATAAAGAAACATGTCTTATTGTAATATATCTGAGAAAGAGGATAGAGTGATATATTATTTGATAAAACTGAGGAGATCATCCAAAATACATCTATATCAGAGCTTCAGAGCTTTGCGCATACAGTTAGGGGTGTTTGTCAATGTTACAAATCATTTTAGAAAAAATACAGTTGTGCAATATTTCTCTTTAGCTATCTTTAACAGGCTTTACTGTCTAATTAAAATGTAAAATTAAAATGTAATCAAATTTTGGATCCATTAATTCGTTCAATTTTGTGTCGGCTTAGTCCCTTTATTAATCGGGGGTCGCCACAGAGGAATGAGCCGCAAACTTATCCAGCACGTTTTTGCGCAGCGGATGCCCTTCCAGCTCCAACCCATCTCTGGGAAACATCCACACACACTCACACACACACACACACTCAATTCACCTGTACCGCATGTCTTTGGACTGTCGGGGATACCTGAGCACCCGGAGGAAACCCACACGAACGCAGGGAGAACATGCAAACTCCACACAGAAACGGCAACTAAACAGAGGCTATATTTAGATTGTCTGAAAGCTGGAAAAAAAATCTAAATATTGAGAAAAATTACTTTAAAATAGTCTGAAGTGAATAGCAATGCATATTACTGATAAAAACAAGGTTTATAACATTCTAGTTATCTAAAATGTCTTCATGCAAAATGATCTTTACTTAATAATCTAATGATTTAGGCATAAAACAAAATCTATTGTTGGCCGGTTTCACAATCTTATCAGTACAGGATATGCATTCTATTATAGGTGTGGTCTAAAATTGCACCCCTTTTTTATTTGATCAAACATGTAATAGTCCACATGGTTCAAATTAAATCAAGTCATATTTATTGTGTTGTACTTTACAATAAAAACTGTTTAAAAGCCACTTCACATTATTAAAACACAAAAGTAG